CAACCTCACCAGCCCGCCCCCGCCCCGCACCCCCTCTCAGATCCCTATATCCAGAACCGGCCTTGTTTATCTACTTAGGTAGTTACCCTACAGGACTACGCGTGAAGGATTCGCTGAGAATTTCGTCACATATGTTCTAGACACAAAAAATGGAGTGGTATAGTTGATATGAAATGTGCTATATACAGGGTGCAATATAATAAGTGTAATACCTCCCGACCACGAGTTCAAGGACCCCTCCGGAACACTAGAAAAATAGGAAAAAAAAAATTACTCGACCAATTTTAAATAATTAAAAATTAACAAGGGCCACTGAGAGGGCTGAGTTATAGCGCGTAAGTGTGAGTGCTAGAAGTCGACTGAGATATGACAACAGCGTGTGAGAGGCGTCGGAAAATGAGAGAGGTAGTTGAGTACCACTGCTCTGCCGTGACTTTCGGGCCGACACGCATGTAGCATAGAGTAACGACATGCATGGTTCTTCCTCACTGTTAAATCCAACGATAAAAATAATGTTTCTTTCGATAGTCACCGCTTATGTTTATTCCAGAGGGACTTCTTAATAATTCCACAGAGATTCCTTAGGAATTCCAGAGGAATTTTTTAGAAATTTCAGAATGATTCTTTAGGAATTGCAGAGGGATTCCTCATAAATTCAAAATGAATTTCTTAGGATTTGCAGATGAATTCCTTAGGAATTCGCAGATGAATTCCTTAGGAATTTGCAGAAGAATTCCTTAGGAAATTATGAGTAATCCTCCCCAAATCCCGAGGAATTCCTCTGAAAATCCTAAGGAATTCCTAAGGAATCCCCCTTTAAAAACTAAAAAATTCCTTTGAAATTCTTAAAAGGAACACATAGAGGATTTTGAACAAGACCCATGCATGTTGTTACTCTACACTACATGCGTATCGGCCCGAAATTCACGGCAGAGCAGTGGTACTCAACTGCCTCTCTCATTTCCCGACATCTCTCACGCGTTGTTGTCATATCTCAGTCGACTTCTACCACTCACACTTGCGCGCCATAACTCCGCCGTCTTTTTGGCCCTCGTTAAGTTTTCATTATTTAAAATGGGTCGAGTAAATTTTTTTTTCTTATTTTTCTAGTGTCCAGGAGGGGTCCCTGAACTCGTGGTCGGGAGGTATTGCACTTATTAAGTTACACCCTGTATATATAGATATGATCTAATAATAATCGAATAATATTTGAACTCCAGAGGCTGGAATTAGTGATTGTGATAGAAAAAAAATTGAAAATTTTCGATTTGACAAATACACTGGTTTTTTTATCAACCAATAAAGATATCTGAATCATTCAAAAGCCCATCATTGATCCGTTGATAACAAAAAAAGGCATTACCAAAATCAAGCATATTTACTTTTAGTTACTCGTTCTCATTTTTTCACACAATTCTTATATTTTCATTCCATCACTGTGTGAAAATTACTGAATGCAGAAATTACTGCATAGATTTTTTAGATATAAAACAAAAAATTTTTTTTGCAGTTTGCAATAACTTTTGGAGTGATGCTAGTCCTCAATGTTATACCATTATGTATTCTACGATCCTGTCATAAATTGGTGCTGATGAAGAAGATGGAAAGACCGAGGTTTAAAGTCAGATGCTTTCATGCGTTTATTAGAAAACTTTGGATTACAACGACTATCAGTTACCTCTTCTGGCCCATAGTTTTGTACCCTCTCTATCTTGTGTTCGGTGAGTTTAAATAATAATTATTATCAAAATAAAACTAAATATTATGCTATAAGTGCACAGAATCGTGCCATTGGAACTTCCCATAAGCCAAAAAACTCATTACGCATTTACTGCGTAATATACTATTATTACACTCTTACAGATAGATAAATAGTAGATCCCAAAATTGAGATAACTTCAAGCTGTTATCACTCTCAGGCAGTGTACAATTTATGTTTCCTTTGTGGTATAGCGTGACAATTCATTCCTGCCTCAATTTTTCAATGCTTTTTTTTATCGTAAGTGCTAATGTTTCCGCAGAGGGAGTGTAATGAAAGGATTTGAAACGGAACTCTGAAAACTTAAAAGCTAACTTGTGCAAATTCTGTTGTCAGTGGTTGGTCAGTTGGATGTCGATATGCGACGTACAAAACAATTAAAATTCCATCCTTTTACTCCAATGCTCCAATTTAATCTCTCGTTCAGTTATTACTCAATACAGAAAAAAAGTTCTTTTACAATTTTTCACATTTTTTGAAGATACATTCACATTTTGGTGTCATCCTTGCATAATGCAAAACTGCACAAGAGTTTTAGTTTCAAGAGAACATTGAGATATTTTGAGAGAAATAATTCAACCTAGCGGAAGGATATCTCTAGCCGTTCTGAATTAATTACAAAATAACGAAAAAAAAAGAAAATAACAAATAAGTAAAATAATAAATAAATTAATGAATGGCTTAATTCATTGCTTAATAATTGAACTAATCATTTCGTTACTGATCACCATAGGTCCATGGGCAGCAGGTGAAGTGATAGAAAACTCCTTTGGGATAATTTTTGCCTGGGGAATGTACATTGGAAAAACATATCTCCCTGGATCCTTCACATACGTCTACGGATCTTTCCAATTATTTTCGTTTCATATGCCACTGACATTAATCCTGGCATTTTCAGTGGATCGAAGATTTCAAGAGCTAGAAAAACCTTTGATGAAACATCCAAACTTGTTAATGTTACTATGGAGACATCTACCATTCTTCCTTCTGATCTCAATGCAAAGTGTCCTGGTTTATTTCTTCTGGCTGGCCTACGGAACCATCACAACAATCCTTTGTCCTTTTAGAAGCTGGAGTATTATAATTGCCATTATTTTGTGGTATCTAGCTAATACTGTACCAAATCATCGTCTTAGACCCGCCGCCTTAGTTTGGGCTTCAGCAAAAAGTCGTTCAATGAACGATTAGATCCAGTTTTTATCATTAATTGAATGAAACTCTTATTCTTTTAAGTGAATGTAGAGAAATTAGTGAATGAATTTGGTTCGATAACAATTGGATTATTCCTATTCAAAACAGCTCAAGTGTTTGCTTAATGACAATGTCTTTTTGTGCAACTAAGACTTGATAGATTATGAATAACATTATTTTTTCATGGAAATCCCAACACATCGTAATTGTAAAAATGACTCTTCTCTATATCTGTGAATATTGCGGATGTACGTTATCCAATTTTGAACAATCATTTAAAGAGTCCAACTATTTTCTCTGAAATTTTGCTATATTTTGGGGAGTATTATCGATTTTTTAAAACAGGTGAATATGAATGAGCAATCTCATTAAATTTGAAGAGTGACATGTCTGAGACTTTGGCACGTATGTTTTTATCTTGGGAAAGAATAATTTTAGCGGAACGAGGAAAATTGACTTTTTCCATATTATAAAATTCTTGAGAAAAATGCAAATTTCGATATTATTATGAGTAAGAAACAGATATTATCTAAATCTGAAAATAAGATAAAGTACAGAATATGAGGCCCTCATGCATTATCTATTGGATGTAATCTTTCGTGTAAATGTTAGCTTATTAGTCTAACATATTTCTAATATTTTTTATGAGTTTCATATTTTGTTACTGATGTCACTCCGAAGATTATATAAGAATAATGATAAACAAGCAGAGGTTGTCAGTATATGACAGCGAGTACGTGACAATGAGCATGTCATTGAGTGATTTGGTAAATTTTTCATCAGCACAAATAAATTGATGATAGGCTTCCGAACCACTAGAGAAAGTGCTCAGAATCCTTATCTGTAGTCCCATTTCTTGAAAAATCAATCTTTTAAGTTGAAATTTTATATTGACGATGTGATGAATTTCAAAATTTGTTGAACTTGAAGATTTCCTAGCATGAGCTAAACTAATCATCTGTTTCAGCTCATCTTCAATACGGAACATTGTAATGATAAGAAAAAACTTCGTGAAAAATTTCCTGAACTAATTATCCGGTTCGTCCCATCTTCAATTCCAAACATTATGTTGTAAAGAGGAAACTTAATATCAAATGTAAAGTTGATGCATCAATTTTTCGCTAACGTACTACCAAATTTTGTTAAAAAAAAAATAAAAAATTGAATATGTCGGAAACGTAGTGGGGATGGTTGTACATATTTTAATTGGCGAGTTCATCGATACGAGCATTTTAAGTAATGAGAAACTGAATTCGATTGAATAGTTTTCGACATATTCACGAAAATCAATGTTGATACAAATTTGAATGTCTCATGATCCATTTCAGCTCTCCTTCAATACCAAATTTTTCATCGTCAAGCAGAAACTTCATACCAAATCTCAAGTTGATGAATCAATCTTTCGCAACGCTACCATGCGTGCCAAATGTTTTGAAAAAAAATAGAAAAATCGAAATATCTCGGAAGCTTATTATGGTTGTATATACATATTATGATTGATGGGAATAGAGCACATCGAGACGAATATTTTGAGATGAAACACTGAAATCGATTGTATAGTTTTGCGCGATATTTGCAAAAAAATCATTCAAAAACAAATGGTAATTTAGAAATTAGGGAGTAATTTGTTCTTCAGCGAACTAGTTCTTGGTAATACTTATGATTAGACAAAATTTCACCTTTTTCGGAATAACTTTAGTCCTCTATTCCTTTATTTTTCTAAATGAGTGGGCGAAGTTGACCATGTGCACATATACACACGGTCCTCAAATTTTCTATTTTCACGTTTTACACTTAACTCTGCATAATTCTCTACATAATTAGCAGATTGAAATATTGACTTCGAGGAATCTACCAAGTTTATAGAAAAATAATTTAAAAAACGCAATTGACCAGACCCGATTATGGAGAAAAGGAAAACATTTGGCAGTCAACGACAATATAGTAGGGAGGGTGAATTACGGGTGTTAATTATTTTTTTGTAATAGCTGATCCCTTAGAATGAACATCTTAATCTGCCACCCTTCTAGAATTTTTTCTCTCTTTCATCATTTTTTTATAACAATTAAATGGGCAATACAATCTCAACCCCAACTTTATAAATACTCTAAACTAATAAAATAAAGTAAAAACCAAAGTTTACGTTCGATTGATATTACACGAGGACCGAAAAGTTCAATTGTAATGCTGTAATCTTTAGATGCCCTGTTGACTTAACAAATTATCTTGACAATAAATTATTTCAGGCTAAACTGACGGAAGTATCACTGGAACTACGATGATTTTCAACCAACATACACCTGGTTTCTTTCTACTTTCGTCCTGAACTTATGCGTTCCGATTTCATATTTACAAATAAAATGTGAAAGATTGTTTTGTTTTCTAAAATTTACCCCATTATCAGCGGGTTATTGAAAGGAATATGTTTAATAATGAAAATAGTAATTTTGTTATTAACTACATACACTGTTCATGTTTGTTACCTTCATTAATCTTCCATGAGACTTATACTTACGTTGAACAATGAGGCTAATTAGTTTTCCGTTGCTTTGTGCGATTGTTTGGAGAGCCAAAAGATTATGTACCTTATTTTTTAAATTTTAGTGATGAGATTGTCTATGATAATTGCTTCTTCAAGCGGCTAAGTAATTATTGTTGTTAATTAGAAGTGACAATTTGGTTTAGGAGTGTGCCAATAAAGTCATTGAAAAGTAATTTTCTCTGTGTCATAAATGATCCATGTTGCAACGTTAACAGAATTACACAAACTAATAATCCATTTATATTTTAATGAAGTTGGTCGGTCGTCTCCATTCGGCGTGTCAACTACTTTGAATGTAATACAATCTAATTAATTTGATGTTGTTGAAAAAATGCACATCTAAATTTTTTCTATATAATTCATATTTTCTCTTTGCCATTTTGAATAACATAGTCGATAGATTTGTACATGAAAATTAAATACATAAGTATTTTCGAGGGCCGCAAAGATTACTAGGATTTTTTTACTAAAACGAAATGACTTTTTTTTCGAAACGTGACATACGAAATTCGACACTATGCTATCGATAAATCTTCATTAAATCGATGTAATTGAAAAGTTCAAGAGACATTATAGAAAACGCGTTGGGAACTTTAAAATGGTTTGCAATATATCCCCGGACATTTAGACACAACTGACATCATTTCGAAGAGCAATAGTATATTTCTTACCTAAGGAGAAAATATAGATAAGTCTTCTGAGCCGAAGGCGAAGGTGCTAAGCACGCGGGCAAGGCTTGTTTGTGTTTGCTCCTGAGGTTTGAATATGATTTTTTACCACGGCGTAGGAATGTTGCCCTGCCTGCTCGCCGGATTGAGAAGAATATTTTCTCTGACTTTGCTCCTACGCCGGGGAGAAAAACGATGTTCTCATCACGGAAGGTAAAATGAAGAAGGCTTACCCACGTAATTTTGCACGTGGGCAAGCCTTCTTTACTTTACCTCCCTAGGTGAGAAATATACTATTTTCGAATGATATATAAATGTTTCTATTCATTTTCTTTAGAAATATGAAAACATTGAACTAAAGCTGAAATAGAGGTAAAACGAGAATGACATTTTTACATGCAAAAGGCCATAACTCCTTAAAAAATGGCGGCAATGACATGGCCCCCGTACTTTTGCGGAGCTTATCCAATGAACTCTCAAATGAGTCCACAACGTATTACCTGAATTAGAGAAAAAGAAAGAAAATATCTCACAAATCGGAAAAAAAGGAAACGCTACGAGCATGGTGGACTTATTGATGGAAAATTCATTTTCTATTATAAAAATCATATGGTCATATATACTATATGACGTTGTGCTCTCGGCGAGGTGGTCCTCGGAGGTATTTCACGCGTCTCGGAGTCCCGTAAGTATGCTCTCGCTATCCCGACCCGTTGATCTGTTCGTTGTATTATGTCACAGTCTTTTTTTTCAGTGTATTCGACTCGCATATCCACTCACGGACCACCCTTCACGACCTAGCATTCTGAGCAACGCAGGCCTTCCCGTTTCCGTTTCATTCGTCATTGGCTTTGACCTTTTACCTCTTGCGGGTAGTTTTACGGTAACTGGACGGGACGAGTTCCAACACCAGTCGTCGTGTCCCCTCGTGCTCTTATTTGAAATTTTTTTTCTCCTTTATGATTATGTGGTTTTTTAACTTCGAGTAAGGTAGGGCATCTCAGCTTTTTACCCTCGGTTCGGTGTTTTCGGTTTTCGTTAGGTTTTGGTCCATAAAAAGCTAACCGGTCCGCCCTTCAATTCGGTTGGGATATTCGGATGTGAGTATGGGAACGGATAAAGGTTATAACCATCCTCGATTTCTGGGACGAGATCAGGAGAAGTGTTACAGTCGAAAAGGTGGAGAATAACTTTGAAGTTTCTAGTTTTCTAATTACCGTCTGCGCTCTCCACTAAATACTACAATTATAACTATTTTCTGTATACTATCTAACATAGTTTCGGAATATGAAAAAAATCGCTTTTTTGACAATTGTAAAGGCATTGCCCCCTTTAACCGATAATCAATTCAATTATGATGATTTATAGTCAATGTACAAGCTGTAGTACTGTAACCGTAGCTGGAAATACTAGTAAGTATTTCACGTTTAGGGGGTCATCCCATGTGACGGCCGGTTTTTGACGCTACATTTCGGAATTTTTTGTGGGAAAATGAATGAACGGACAACACTGAATTTTTGACTACACATTTATTGACATTTGAAGATAACGCTCAATTTTTTTCGGACAAAAATTATCCACCTATGCCGAGCTACCCAGCCGCGAAGTCGGCCATGAAAACGAAAGGGGTAAAACGGCTGGCACGATTCTGAGGTATTCGATGATCTGAAATTTAAAAATAAAACGGGTTCTTAATCTGCGAAGGTTCAGCTATCTGAACTAGCTGAACTAGGATTTTCAAAAAATATCAAAAATTCAATTTTTGGCAGGCACCCAAAGTTTTTTTCAAGAATTTTGTTTATTTTCATTGACTTTTTCTTAAAAAAAAACAGGTTTAGATATCGGAATTATCCTAGTTCAGCAGATGCATACACATCTACTGAGTAATCCCTCCAAATTTCGTTGAAATCCGTTGACTAGATTTCGAGTTATGGTGTCAGCCAATTTCAAAAACACAGTTTCGAGAAAAACGCATTCAAAGATTCACATACTGTTAACACGTGTAAAGTTTTGGCTTACCCTCAATTTGCTATGCCTGGCCCATAAAGTAACCCTTCTTCTTCCTTATAGATAGCTTGCGAAGCCGATTGTTCACTCTTAGCGTCAATTCTAGCCCTTTTTGCCATGTTAGTCAAGCGTTGTTCGGAGCGTCTGATGCGCGCTTCATTACGGCGCTCGGCGTACGCTTGAGTTATGGGGGTTATTAGGCAACCCATGATTTCCATCACTTTCAGGATGCCATTGAAACCTTCATTAAAAATTATTACAGCTAGGGCAGTAGCTATTTCAACTACTTTCACGCCAGAGTGAAGATGTTTGGGCGCAAAAGTCCAAATCAATGAATTTAACGATTCATTGTTATTTTCTGTGTCTGCTCCTAAACATCTTATCAACAAATCATCTCTTGATAAATCTTCATACACTGGTTTGATGGCCTTTTGAACTTCTTCAGTGAACGGTGGCTTATCATGATGAAAATTGTGGAGTTCCCCTATAGCTTCTGCCTTGCGCCACTTGCACCAACTGTCTTTGTCTGCTGGGCAATTTTGGTGTTGTGGATTTGCGTCTGTAGAACATTTATGGTAGAAATTGGCCCATATTTGTTTCTTCATTTCTTCCATTGAATCTGTATGTCGACGAATAGCCAAACCGTAGAATTTTGTGAGCTCATTGATGACTTTGTCTGTTAATTTCCCAGCACCTTTTCCACCGATTCCTTTATTCATTTTCTTTACGTTACGTAGTCGAGTGCCCATTCTCTTTTCCACGTGCCCGACACATTCTTTTTTAACTACCAGTTCTTTTCCATATGGCTCCCTTTTTAGAATCCCATTGAAGGTTTTGCTATCGCCATCGCCCACGTAGGTACGATACTTTACACCATGTTTTTCTTCAGATCGCGAAAACATTTGAACAATAGCGTCAACTTCCATCTTTCCAGAGCTCCCAGAATGATTTATAGTACAATCAGCTTCATGACTTTCAAACCATGACTCGTAGGCAACTGGATCGTTATTTTTTTGGCTTTTCCATAAGTTACATCCACCACAAAAGCTACTCATTACATATTGTTAGAAATCCTGTCAGCTGACAGGCACTCACACATACACACCCACTCACACACACCGCACGCTCACCTCAGATGACCAGTGGCCTTTCACCTCTGACACCTGGGGCGCCACTTGATGGACAGGTGTAATCCACCATCGCGATGATCGACACCTCCCACCTTACGGCTTATTACTCTCTCTCATTTGCATCTAGACCGCTCGAGAGTGTTTACGCGCTTTTCTCAGATCTTCGCTTCTCGTTAATTAGACCTGCTCACTAATAGTTCTTCTCAGAAGAAGATCAGTAGATCCTTGAATTATAAAAGTGTTCTCATTGCTCAGCTCATTATTGTGACATATAATTGTGAAGTGACTTTTCTTGACAATTAAACGTGACTCCTTTTTGACCAACGCCACGCGAGTGAATTCTTTGACCCGCTCAACACTTCCTGAAAATCCGTCCTCATCTCATCCATCACATAAAAATATCCCCATAACCAGATCCCGTTCTGAACATTTTGGTCCTTCGAGCCGGATCGGTGGAATATTTTTGTGTTTTTTATCGGTTTCGCGTGGCATCGGAGTGATTTACGCGGGAATGTAGACTCAGTGCAGTGCCGTCACGTCACCACGAGTGCCCCGCTCATCTGCCAGGACCGTATCACGAGTCTCCAGTGCCCAGCTCACCGAGTCGGGAGCACCCTAGGGAGCCGAGGGCCTCGCTCATTCATCAGGGCCGTAATAACCACACTGCAGACCCGCTCCAGGACTTTAAAAAATCTTCTGCAAGGCTAAGTAGTCCTGATTATTCTCGGTTTTCGAACTTGGGCTACAACTATCGCTACTGCTCTGTTGATTTTTTTCGAATATTATTATTTTTTTGGAATTTATTTCTCAGGGCAAGCAGTGAGACAACGAAGCTCAGAGTCGTATTCAACGGTTCAAACAAGACCAGCTCAGAACAATCGCTCAACGAGATCATGCACACGGGAGCGAAGCTCCAAGCGGTCATCTCAGACGTGCTGCTATTCACGCGACGGCGCAAGCTCATCTTTATGACGGACATCACAAAGATGTTTCGTCAAATTCGAGTGCATCCGGATGACTGGCCGCCCCAACAAATTTTATGGACCGACTTAAATGGAGATATCGTCACCTGTCAGCTCACCACGGTCACGTATGGCACAAGGTCAGCTCCATTTCTCTCCATACGTGTGCTTCATCAGCTCGTCGAGGATGAAGGGTCGAAGTATCCCCTCGCTGTGGAACCGCTCATGAAAGAACGATATGTTGACGATATCTGCGGAGGTGCTGATTCAGCTGAAGAACTACTCAGGACCGCTCACCAGGTGACGCAGCTCTGCCTGTCAGGAGGCTTTCCATTAGCCAAATGGCACTCGAATAGCCCAGCTCTACTTACATATCTTCAACCTGACAGCACCTCTCAAAATCAACGATCCATAGAGGACTCATTCACCAAGATTCTTGGGGTTTCTTGGCATCCAGGAACGGACAAGTTCAAGTTCTCAGTCACTCAGCCTGAGACCAGCTCAATAACGAAGAGGATCATATTATCGGAGACGGCTCAACTCTTCGATCCGCTCGGCTTCCTCGCACCAGTGGTCGTGCGAGCGAAGATTCTGCTTCAGGCTCTATGGATCGAGAAACTGGGGTGGGACGAACCAGTCTCGCCGACGACTGCTCAACGATGGCGTCAGTTCAGGGAGGAACTCACACAGTTGTCAGAGATCACCATACCTCGGTGGCTTGGACTGCTCAAAGACTCAATTGTGGAGGTACACGGATTTTCTGATGCCTCACAAGTGGCTATGTCAGCCGTGGTTTATCTCAAAATCTTCAACGGGGATAAACAGGATGTCACACTGGTCTGCTCAAAAACGAAGGTCGCACCGCTCAAAAGGCTGACAATTCCACGTCTAGAACTCACTGCAGCTCTTCTCCTTGCCAAACTGACCAAATACGTCAAGGACCAACTCAACCTCACGAACGCCACCACGTATCTTTGGACGGACTCATCGGTCACGCTTACTTGGATCAGCTCTCATTCATCAAGGTGGAAGGAGTTCGTGAAGAACAGGGTGTCACTCATTCAGGACCTCACTCAGCAGGCTCACTGGAGGTTGGTACCAGGCAAGGAGAATCCTGCAGACTGTGCGTCTCGAGGTCTATCAGCGCATCAGCTGGTCGCTCATAAGCTATGGTGGACAGGGCCGCCATGGCTTCAACAGGACAGCTCATCATGGCCGACTCACGCCTTGGAAAAGGACCTTAACGTAGACCTCGAGGAGAAGCCAGGAGTTCTCTTACATCTCAAGGCTCAACCAATCGCTCTCTGGGATCTCATCGACAGATTCTCTTCGCTCAACCGTCTGCTCAGGGTCACAGCAATCTGTCGAAGATTCATCGCTCGGCTCAGGAGAGTCCCTCATTCATCTCTTCAGTGCCCGCTCACACTTGGTGATCTGGAAGAGGCTCGGATCCTCTGGATCAAACTCACGCAGGCAGCTCACTTCAAGGATCAGCTCAGATCAATCTCACGAGGGGAGAGGTTCAGTAAATCTCACCCTCTCACCAAGCTTACACCCTTCATCGATCACCAAGGGGTACTGAGAGTTGGCGGACGGCTCAAGTTCGCTCATATTGGCCCAGAGAGCCCGAATCAAGCTATCATTCCGAGGGAATCTCGGCTGGCTCAACTGCTCATAGGACAAGCTCACCTCAGGACACTCCACAGAGGCACACAGCTCACTTTGCGACAGCTCAGAAGCAGCTACTGGATACTCGGAGGCTGGGCACCAGTACGCTCCTTCATACTCAAATGCGTTAAATGCACTCGCCAACGTGGAGTACGCGCGCAACAGCTCATGGGCCAGTTGCCACCAGCAAGACTCTCCCCCGTTCGCGCCTTCCTCAACACGGGAGTCGACTATGCCGGCCCCGTATCGCTACGCTCATGGAAAGGACGGGGTCACAAGTCGTACAAGGGCTGGTTGGCTATCTTTGTCTGCATGACCACCTCAGCGGTTCATCTCGAGGTCGTGTCGGACTATTCACCTGAAGGATTCATCGCAGCGTATAGGCGCTTCTCAAGTCGGCGTGGGATAGCTCACTCCTTGTTCAGTGATTGCGGGACCAATTTCCTTGGCGCTGACAAGGAACTTAGGAACCTCTTCTTATCAGGATCAGCTCATTCCAGACAGCTCGCTCAGCTCCTTATTAATGATGGGACCCAGTGGTCATTCAATCCTCCAGGCGCTCCACACTTTGGAGGGAAATGGGAAGCGGCGGTGAAGTCGGTGAAGTTCCATCTCACCCGAACGATCGGAGAGGATTTGCTCACTTTTGAGGAACTCACCACTTTGCTCGCTCAAATCGAAGCGGTGCTCAACTCACGACCCCTGGAACCGCTCACGGATGATCCTGATGACTGCTCAGCCTTGACACCGGGACACTTTCTCATCGGTCAGGCTCCCACGACTCTTCCGGAACCATCTTTAGAGCAACTCAACGTCTCGAGACTCTCTAGATGGCAGCTCATTCAGCAGAAACTCCAAGGATTCTGGAAATGGTGGTCCACGGGATATCTCCAATGTCTTCAGGCGATATCCAAGTGGCACCATCCGACTCATCAACTACGGATCGGCTCACTGGTTCTACTCACGGACGAGAGATTTCCGCCAACGAAGTGGCCTCTCGCCCGAGTGACTGCTCTGCACCCAGGATCGGATGGACTCACCAGGGTAGTCAGCATCAGGACTGCTCAGACGATGCTGACGAGGCCAATCGCCAAGCTCGTCATCTTGCCCATCTCACCTTCCGAGGAATAGAACCAGGTCAACTCACCGGCTTCTCACTGTTGGACTTCGTCAATTTCGACGGATTTACGACCCTGACTCACCGACGGGGCTCAACGTGAGAATGACAGCAGCTAAAGCAGAAGGGATTTACGACCCCTGATGTCTAGGATGCTGCCATGCCTAGCCAGCGCACCTTCTGGACGGTCTCACGGATTCACTCATGGGTGACAAACTCCGCCAGCTCACCAAAGAGCGTTTTGAATTTTTGCTTTTTGTTTCAGCTCACCATGGTTCTGCTCAGTCTGGTTGCGTCAACAACTTATAGTTGTCAACGGCCGGGGAGAATGTTAGAAATCCTGTCAGCTGACAGGCACTCACACACACACACCCACTCACCCACTCACACACAC